TAGAGCTTAAGAATCATCCCCATATTCCAAAATCTACTCTCGAACAAGACCGGACAGACAAAAAATGGAAGGGACAGGCATAATAATGGTAGTCTAATCCAACGCAGGACTCATATTTACATTTTGAAATCCGCAACGAAAGGATAACCATTTGATCAACAGGAATGACCATATATAACCATATCTAAGGAAAAATGACGCAAGCTCAATATTAATAAATGTTCAATCGGAACCAAAAAAGAAACAGAAGTGTCAAGGATACCCCTCAAACCTACCAGAAGTTCTTGTGTCCATCATAATCTCTTAGCTTTCACGATCGGAAATCACCACCGACTTGCACATTGAAGTGAACTTAAGAGGCACGAAGCTACCCATCGTCAAGAACTTAAGAACCATCTAGCATTCACAGATAGTCAGCCGAATATTTGCACTTCAGGTGCCCGCAACTTATTGTTCTCAGAAGAAGTTCTACCTTAAGAACAGAGTTCAACAAGTTCCAATATGAAATCAAACATGAAGCCCTAGCCTACCTCAGCATGATTGAGAAGACCATATGCTTGATTTTGTATTGCCAACAAGTAAGATGTCTGACAAAACCAAAATGCCAACCAATGCGTGCAATAATTATAAAGAGAAACCAAACTAGTACTACTGAGTTCTTTTTCTTTCTAAGTTCATATCCACAAAGCAGCAGATGCATTTCAGACGGATGAACTCTAATGATCCATTTGCAGGACTGGAAAAAAGGTTAAAATCTTCAGCTGCATTGGGAGTCTGTACCATTCTCTGCCATTGGATCTCCCGGAATCCTTTTCCCACAGAATAGTATCAGAAGGAAAATTCTCCTGGAATCGAAGAGGACTTTATTCTTTTGCTTATCTCAGCAGCTTTAGTTTTTCCATCACCGCCTACTTTTCTTCTTTCTGTTGACAAGTGAATCACATCCCTGGTTAACAAGACAACACTAAATGGTCGGCAAAATTTTGCGGCAAAACAACAATTCATTGACGATCTAGAAAGGATGAAATCAAAAGCACAACTCAAGAGAACAAGCTTGTTCACAGTCACTTCTGGGTTGGAAGTACACAGAAAAGGTTCCAAGAAAACAGACCAGTATTGCTCAACTTTATACATGTATCTAAGTGCTTCTCACCGAAGTACACACTGGTTCGAAATAAGGATGACAGTCTCCTTATTGGGGACAAGTCGTAAAAGCGCAGTTTAACCAGCTCTTCTACATACTCGAGGCCATCCAGCCGTACTTCCGTGTCAGTATTACCAATCTCGTCTGCTGTAAGTACCAACTGGGTGAGATTCAGGAATCCGACAGAAGATTTGTAGCACCAGACCTGTAGTTTCACTGATGAAAAGCATCAATAAGATTTGGGCGCCAGTGCTTCTAATGGTCATTCACTATCAAGACCATGGAATGGTATTAAGCGTGTGAGGGCAGTGACGTATCTAAATTGGTTAGAGACAAGAGAGATTCAAAGCCAAAGCAACGACTTAAACTATTTGAACCCTGAATGAAAAGCATTTGCAATGATCCCAGCTCACCAAGGACTTGGATTTCTGTGAGATGAGAGCAAGAATAGATACTTAAATCAAGTAACTTGCTCAAAGACTCCATGTTTTAATTTCCAATGCAAAATATTTTCAAGATCAAATTTGGGACGGACCAGAGGGGCTACTGATTGTACATAGGGCTTCCATAGTCAACAAAATATAATCGGAATCTCAAAATAACACCCAAAGGGGCACACTCTAGAGCAGCAACGTGGTCACCAATCCATGTGCATCTCCGTTGATATCACTGACTTCAAAGTTTCCTTCAAGATAGAGCAGATGGGCAATTGGAATGATTAACTGGACTTTCGGACAGACAGCTTTCTTACTTAAACATGGCCACCAATCCATGTATTTTCCCACTCAGTATTAATCATTCCAAAGTTCCCATCTAGGACTCTAGTAAGGGCACGTAGAGCAGAAGGGCAACTGGAATGTTTCAAGACATTTTCAAATGTAGGGACAACGGGACATTTGCAAACCAACTTTCTTTCTCAAACATGGCCATCAAATTCACGGACTTACTTTCTTTCAAATAATCATGCCAAAGTTCCCCTCTAGGACTCCATTAGTACTTTTCACTTTATATAATAGAGCAGAAGGGCAACTATATAGTATCTAAAAGGTCACTTCAACTAAAAACAACATGGTAATATAACCATTTGTGGATCTCCATACTACAAGATGCAACAAAAGATAACTATTCATATGTTATTGCGGAAAACACGTCCATGAGCAAATCTAGGCACAATTCGGAGATTTTCCATCCGGATTAAAATTATATGCAGCAGAGGAGGGGCATTGGGAATCATACCAGATAACATTTTTCTCCAACAGGGGACGAAACGTTGGACCACCCAACTCATAACCGGGAAACACTTGGCTTGCTACCAACCCTCTCGGCGTAAATGTATCTCCCAAAGACTCAGAAGGTTGTACCCCTCAATGAGCGCACAATCATGGCCGCCCCAACCCTAACTGGGCTGATCGAATGAGAAACCCTTACCGCCGACTTTGTTACTGTTAAAGAAACCAACCAACAACCCGCGTATACAAATCGCAGCACCGATTAGCCGCGTTCCTGTCAACTGTTGCAGATTTCCCTGGATGGATCACCCACAATTTCTGTATCAGAAGAAAAAAGATAGAACCACAACTCGTGTATCTAAAACTGACAAAATTAGGGCTCACGAAGCAAATACATCTCATACTGAATCCTTTGACCCATGCAATTGGTTTCAATGATATGAAAGAAATTTTTACATAAAAGCGACAGAACGGTTCTCCGTAAAATCTGAATAAGCATATGCGTTGAAGAGCAAAGACAAGGAGCAGTAAGAAGAAGAGTAATTCCATCACCGATCAACACCACGGAAACCTACCATGGGACGCCCGCCACAAAAATACCAACACCGATCGAGCGGAGACACGATCTCAGAGTTAGAGAGGCACCACTGCTCTCTACTGTGCCACTGAAAACGATTCAGAGGAAGCAACGCGCCGACGCCCCTTTCCGGCAATATCTCATTTCGGAAAATATATACAGCAATTTCAGACGCATAGGATGAGAAATTACTTAATGAGACTCTGCTTACATATATACATCAATGGAGTCGGTTATATTTGCCTCCCTAACCATGGATACGATGCTTAACTTCTACGCTTCAGACGCGTCTCACCGAATCGACATTGACCAAGTCAACCCCTTGTGTCCTACGCAATTGGGTAACTGAGTGAGCACTAATTGGGCTTTTCAGGGTCACAAAATTGGGTTTTTTATTAAAAGGAAAATGATTAGGCCCAATGTTGGCTTTTGCTTCTCTCACGCCCATTCTACGGCCCAATGTTCAACTTTTAACTTTCGTTCTTTTTTTTGGTGAGATTGAGCTCGTGATAATAAATATTTTCCACAAAAAATATATCTTTATATCATAAATGTCTTTGTATCAAATATAAGAATAAAAATATCTAAATTGATAAAAAAAAAATAGTAATTTTGAAATTATATTTATTGAACGATACGAAATAAGATAAATTTGTCTAAGGAAAACTAGATATGGGGTTGGCCTCGAATGCATTTCATTAATGGGTGAACAAAAATAACAATTGTTTGATGTAATGGCGCATTAATTGGTGCCACAGAAGAGTCCAAACTATCCAACTATTCGAAAATTGAAAGTTCGTATCAAACGTAATTTTTACGTGATATAACTTATCTCGTCTCAACCAAGAACATTATAAGAGATTCACTATAACTCCCCATCATTAAAATTTTAAATACATCATCAACAATCTCGTCCTTTTTCTCAGATTATCATTATCTACGTGATAAAATCTATTAAACCCTCCGAAAAAATTCAAATGGTAAAATATTTGCAATTGTAGAACACTATTTCAAGAAGTTGAATTTACCTCGTCCGGGTCATTGTTTGAGATTACTCTTCTTCACCGCTACTGATCTTGAAAACTTTGTATTCACATATGGGGGCCGATATATTATAATCGATGAGCTTGATGTTAAACTTCAAACTTCACTCATAGAATTTGAAGGAGCGGAGTTCTTCTCATTCTGTCACTATCTTGGGATAGCTTCTTGGTATGCATTTCAAAAAATGTAACTCCTTGAACAAAGTCAAATTCAACTGAATTAATAAAATGGCGGCAATTTATATATAATATTAGTCTAATATTTTTTAGTGGGTACAATGTTCTTTTCATGAATGTATGAATTTGAAGTTAAAAGAATGGAAGAGTGACAACATTGTTAACCAACGGCGACGTGATTGTCATAGTATTTATAAAAAAATTTACATGTTTCAACTAATAATATTTTTACCCAAAAAATTCTAAAACTCAATAAATATAGTCCATTGAAAATTATTGAGAGATCGAAAAATATCTTAGTTGCACCGCTTGAGATCCATGCTAACTTTCAATAGATAAGATTATATAGAGAAACCCTAACCCCCATTCATAATTTTGAAAATTTGAATGGATTATATATTATGTAAATATTAGAGAAAGCGTTAGCATTTGAACATGAATGACTTGTTAAATTGAAACTGAGTTTTATAAAAAAGCAGGCCGTCAGAGATGCTCTCCTGGCTTCCAGCTGGTGCATCTGTTACTGGGAGCCGTTGATGGATAAAACGAAGAAGACAAATTGAGATTTTGATAGGATGCGACGGGGAAAGATTGGGTTTTTAATTTAATTTTTATTGTGTTTTGTTGGATTACCTTTTCGTCCTTGTTGTTATACTATCCACACTATGAGAAAAGAAAGAAAAACCAAAATAAAGAGGGGGTCAGGGAGATCATAGATTAGGTGGTTGACGGAAGAACTGAATCGTTAGATGATAAAATGTATTATGATTATCACGGTAAAATGTAAACAAAGCAATTTGTTAACAATCCCAAATGTAACTGTTGTTTATGCCATTGACGCACATATGTATGATTTGGAATGACATTTGCCATTTTACGCTCAAGACCTCGACGCCGTCGTTTCACCGTCCCTCCGATTGCCCATTTGCCCGTCTTGCCGTCCTTCGTACGGTTCGGGGCGGGGAAGCGTTTTGCTTAGCGTTCGTTCTCTCAATCTCTTACTCCAGTCGGCTCCCTCCCTCCCCCCGCCTCTTTGCAGTCGTGTTGCTTCTGTTCACTGTTTTTAAACCCTAACTTCTCTCCAGGTCCACTCCAGCAGTTGCAAGACTTTGGAACTCCAATGGTGTTGGTCAGGTACTCTCCCTTGCCTTTTCGCCTCTTCCAGCTTCCACCCCCGCGAATACGTAGATGCAATCACTGCCCTGATTTCTTCGTCATCTCTGAATTTCACTGGAATTAACACTTGAGAATCGCTGCCCTCTCTGCCGTGTGCCAAACTGACAATGCTTCTTCTGCTTAATTCTCTCCTCATTGCATCAACCGAAGCTTCGATCTTTCATCGCGCCCACGCTGTTTTCTTGTCACCCACTGTCGTGGCGTTGGACGTTTGGTTCGGTAGTTCGCACTTCGCAGGCAATTTGGTTTCTTAAAGCGAGGGTCTTCTCTCTTCTTCCCGAGTCCTTTGCATGGTTGATTTCGTCTCCCCTTTCTGTCTCTCCGTTCGGTTTATTTAGGGGTTTCAATCAGTCAATTGTACTCCGTGATGCTTCCTCATCATTTGCCTGGTTGGTCTGTTCCCTGGTTTGTGTAGCTTTTAAGAAATATTTACAGTTCTCCTGGTTCATTCTTCCCTAAGTGTCTCATAATTGAGTTCTCTTGATTATTTTTGAAGAAATTAGGGTAAAATTTGTTGGGGTGAATGGTCTTCTGATATGGTGCTGGGATTACTGTTTGTTTCTTAACTGCCATTATCACCATTCACCACCTCTTTGAGACTTCGTCATGGCTCTAGTTGCTTGTGTCGTAGAGTGAGTGACTTGCTTCCTACTATTGTTTACCATTTTCGTAGCTTAGTCTGCTTAGATTGCACACGGTGTTCTTTAAGCTATGAAGCTGGTTCTTTCTCCTCTCCTTTACCTTTTTTGTGGGCATTCCGCTTGATGATTCTGGTTCTAGGCTACGTAATCATAACTTTCAAACTAGTTGTTGAAGCATTTGGGATGGCAGATCATGGGGGTTTTGGTTCAACTTGGAGATGTTTTTCCACTCTAGCTCATTGGATCTGTAACATATTACCAAGAGATAACAAGCATTCAGTGAGGCATATGTGCATGCTGTATGCTAAAGAATTCATGTTTACTGTTTTTTTTTTTTTGTGTTTTGAGATTTTGAATTCTTGTGATTGGCAGGTACCGTGGCATTTTGGGAATCCATCCATTAAATTTCCTGAGGTAAGGAACCGTCATCTGGTTGAAGCAAAGAATTCTCAGTACTTGACTGGAATGGGGGATCATATAGATATTAGTTCCGACAGTGACTTTGAGTTGGATGAGGATGATAACTACGGTGGTGGATCACTGATAGAGGGGCCTACTAATACACGTACTCTTCCGCAATGGGCGACAAGCTCAAGTCGTGCAGGTATGGCGCCTGAATTTTCTGTGCTTGCCTGCTGTTATCTTCTCATCCTTGAGTTTTCCCTTTTTCTTCCCTTTTGCTGAATATTTGTCATTTGCTTGCCTTCTGTAGTCATGAATCTCTTCTTTTATGCTAGTCCTAGACCAATATCATTGGTGATGGAGACAGTGTGCTGATGTTTATTGCGTTCTTTCCTTCAATGACATTGGATCCTTCACCTAGTTGGTAATGACATACTCTTAAATGTGGATTAATTGAACTTGCAGGTTCTATCAGTAGGAATCACAATGCTCCGTCAAGTTCATATGCTTCTAATAGTGGGTCATCAAACCTAAATAAACTTCGGATCAGCAGTTATGGAGATGATACAAGAACTTCAAACCAGATTGCCCTCCATCCAGATTATAATGGCAATGACAGTTCAGGTCACGCAAGAGCTGTCAACTCAAGGATTGCTAATGTTTCTGGTGCAGAGTACGAGAAGCTTTCGTCCCAACAAGCTTTGAGGCGGATCCTTCCTACGTCTCTAGATGGAGCTGGGCCTAGTAACAAAATGAACAGGTTAACTGATGGTGCAGGTAGCAGCCAGACCCATGGTCCCCATCGAAATATGTACAATCCCTCAGGATCAGGTTTTGGTAACAACCTGGATTCCACGCGGAATCGTTCCATCCAGGCCAATGATGAAGATGTTGTAATGTATGAAAAGAATGGAACAAGGGTTTTACCTCAGTCATGGACGCATGGGAAGTCCCATATGCCTGGACCATCGGCCAGTTCAAATGATTATGCATACCATTCTATGGCAGGCGATGAACCTGTGTGTGATGAGAGACTGATTTATCAAGCAGCATTGCAGGTATGTCTTGAAGTTTACTGTTATGGTGTCATTTCAAAGAGTACTATTATTATATATATCACGCCATTTTGTAATGGTTCTTAGAATATTGTGTGAGTGTGTCCCTTTTCCATTTCGTTGCAACGCATAGTAGGCACTAGTTCTTGTGTTATATAATGCACGTTTCCTCTCATTATTAGTTAAGTTTAGAAAAATTAAGACTGGAGAATGTAGAAAGGACTATACTGGTGGATTGCTTTTCACTAAACTATCCTTTGTTCCTTGCCAAGAATGCTATCTTGCAAATGAATTCGAAAGCATGTTCTTATGTACATTTGACTCCCTTAAAACTTTCAGAGATATAGGTTCAATTGTGGAGCAACACTGTTTTTCAAATTTAAAACTGACAGAGATTGAAAAGCATGCTGGTGTAATCATTTGTCGGATTCATTACAAATGCCCAAGTGGCTGGTTGTTTTCTTACCATATCTATCTCTGAGAATTAAAAAAAATCCCTATGCTCTTTAAAGAATTCTGATTTAACGGGGCTTGTGTTTTTTTTTCCAGGGTCTTAATCAACCAAAATATGAGGCCAACTTGCCTGAAGGCTTATTGTCTGTGCCTCTTCTGAGACACCAGGTCCTCTCATTTGACAATAATAAAGTGTGCTTAAAGGGTTAGATTGATGTTTAACTAACACTGTTTTTTAACAGAAAATTGCATTGGCATGGATGCTTCAGAGGGAGACAAGAAGTTTACATTGTTTAGGTGGAATTTTAGCTGATGATCAGGTGGTCTCCTTGAATGTCTACAGATATTTAACTTGGGCTTTGTCTAGTAGTTTGATTTGTTCTGTATTTTCGACTTACTTGTGTTCTACTTAATTCTCCAGGGTCTCGGGAAAACCATATCAATGATTGCCCTTATACAAATGCAGAAGGCTCTTGAATTGAGATCTAAGTCAGAAGATCAAAGTACTAAAAAGACTGAAGCATTGAATTTGGACGAGGATGATGATGGCAGCAATCACGTTTCTGATAAAGGCAAGCAGACTGTTGAAAGTAACAGTATAAAAACAACTGAACAAGTCGGTACTTCTTCAAAGCCCCTTAACAGACAGAGACTAGCAGCTGGTACATTGGTTGTCTGCCCAGCGAGTGTTCTCCGCCAGTGGGCGAGGGAGTTGGATGAAAAAGTTGCAGATGAGTCTAAACTCACTGTCTTGATATATCATGGAGGCACTAGAACAAGGGATCCTGCAGTATTGGCAAAGTATGATGTTGTAATGACAACATATGCCATAGTAACTAATGAAGTTCCAAAACAACCTATGGTGAATGAGGATGAGCTTGATAATAAAACTGCAGAGAGAAGTGGTGTATCTTCGGAATTTTCAGTTGATAAGAAGAGGAAAAAGCAGCTTGGTGCTAACAAGAAGAAAAAGAAGGGCAGGAAGGGAGCAGATAGTTCCCCTTTCGATTACGATTGTGGTCCACTTGCAAGGGTGAATTGGTGTAGGGTGATTCTTGATGAAGCTCAAACAATAAAAAATCATCGAACTCAAGTGGCCAGAGCTTGCTGCAGCCTTCGTGCCAAAAGGAGATGGTGCCTATCAGGGACACCTATACAGAATGTGATTGATGATTTGTACAGCTATTTCAGGTTTCTCAGATATGAACCCTACTCAGTGTATAAGTCGTTTTACAGTGCCATAAAGCTCCCATTATCAAGAAATTCAATTCAAGGTTACAAGAAATTGCGAGCTGTTTTAGCAGCTGTAATGCTGAGACGTACTAAAGGTGTTTTTTTCTTACTTGTTGAGTAGCTTTTTTTGTTAGACCATCCGTTTATGGTATCCATATTTCCATGGCAAAGTTGAACTTGTAGCTGACTGAGTATTTTACTCCAGGGACATTGATAAATGGGGAGCCTATCATCAAATTGCCTCCAAAATCAATCGGTTTGAAGAAGGTGAAGTTCTCAGATGAGGAGCGAGCTTTCTACAACCGGCTAGAAACTGATTCTCTATCTAAGTTCAAGGTTCTTTTCTACCTTAGTTTCTCTCTTAGCCGGACATACATAGTCAGTTGTTCATTTCTCAGGTTGCATCTGTTGGCTGGTAGCAAGTGTGTTACCTTAGGGACACCTTGAACACTATGAATTAATATGAGGTCAATCGGATTTGTGCTTTGGAAAAATGTAAAAACAAACCTGTGCTTTATAATATTTCGTTTTTCTTTTCCTTTTTAATGTCATTTCTTCATTGCTTTCCGGTTTCTTTACTCTATTTGGTTTTCCAAGTGCTGCTGATTGGCCATTTACCAGAAATGGGGAGTTTGATTGTTTTTTGAAATTTCCTTTTTATCTTTTGCTATTATTTCATGTACGTCAAAGCAGAGCTGCGAATTTTAATTCTGCCAGGTCTAGAAAGTGGTTTGCCTGCTTATGCTACATCTGCTTTTTCATTCATTCTCTAACGAACTTGCTATTTCTTGTTTTCTTTAGTTATCATGTTTCTTATTTAGTTATTTTTCAGTCTATATTGTAAATAAAGGATATTCCATCTAATGTACAATCCTGCATCAGATATTGGGCCAATTTTCCACTTCATTTGTCGCTTAATTTGCGATGAACCCTGAGTAAACTTAATATTTACGTAGATCGTGTCCCTTGTGGGATTCCTAATATAACCTCTGTGAATCTTGGAATATATATGTTTGTAACAATTTCCTTTGCGATTTTGTAACTTTGATTTTTCTGTGCAGGCTTATGCTGCTGCCGGCACTGTTAGTCAAAACTATGCAAATATTCTGTTGATGCTTTTACGCCTTCGACAGGCTTGTGACCACCCGCTTCTTGTCAAAGGTTTCAATTCTGCCTCTGTACAGAAAGTTTCCGTGGAGATGGCAAAGAGACTTCCAAGTGACATGGTGCGTGATCTATTGGCCATAGTGACTTCTGACATGGCCATTTGCCGTGTCTGCAATGTGAGTATTATCTGAGCTTCTCTTAATTTGGTGTTTAAAGTCATTGCTCTGTGACGTTTCTTTTTCATGAATCTTGATTGTTCCATCCTTTTTTCGTATTCTGCACACAACTTTCCTTCATATTTGGCTCTTCTCACTCGTGCGCTATGTTCTGCTCACTTCTGAATCCTTGTCTGGATTTTTCTTTATGTTTCTGACATCTATAACACTCAGGTTCTGTGTGCTAACACTACCATGGGAAATGCTGTGCCTTCAATTGATCTATAAATTATTCATGTACAGGATCCACCGGATGACGCTGTTATTACAATATGTGGTCATGTTTTCTGCTATGAGTGTGTATCAAATTACCTGACTGGGGATGATAACACCTGTCCTGGTCTTAACTGCAAAGAGCAGCTTGGTTCTGATATTGTCTTCTCAGAAGCTACTCTGAGAAGCATATATAGTAATAAAGATGCTGGTCCTCGTCCTAAGCTCAGTCATCAGATCACCGAGAATGATGATAGCTCTTCAAAAATCAAAGCTGTTCTTGCCATTCTTAAGTCACATACTGGGATGGATGGACCAGATGATGTGGATTGCTCAGTTGTGAGCTCGGTTCCCAAAGGACCTATAAAGACAATAATTTTTTCACAATGGACCGGCATGTTGGACTTGGTCGAGATGGCACTCAATCAGAGCTGCTTACAGTATAGGAGGCTTGATGGGACAATGAATTTAAATGTGAGAGACCGTGCTGTTAAAGATTTCAATACTGATCCTGAGGTTAGTTTATGGACTTTGGCCTTGAAGAAGTATCCTGCTTGAGATGATGACCTATCTGTTTGTATAAGTCCAACTCTTGCCCATTGAGTCTGAAATTTTCTGTTTTCAGGTAACAGTGATGCTAATGTCACTTAAGGCAGGGAATCTGGGTTTAAATATGGTTGCTGCATGTCACGTTATCCTTCTGGACCTTTGGTGGAACCCCAGCACTGAAGATCAGGCAATTGACAGAGCACATAGAATTGGACAGACTCGACCGGTTACTGTGACCCGGCTTACCATTAAAGACACAGTGGAGGATAGGATTCTAGCTTTGCAGGTTCTAATTAATGCCAGTAGTATCTGATGTCAAGTTGCCGTCTTTCCTCTTGTAATTCTAGCATTAGTAGCAGTTTTAACATAACATGGTTAATATGAACATGATTTCGTCTTATATTTGTTTGGCCAAATATCTGCAGGATGAGAAGCGGAAAATGGTTTCGTCTGCCTTTGGGGAGGACCAAGGTGGGGGAACAGCTACAAAGCTTACCGTGGAAGATCTAAGGTTTCTATTTATGGACCGGGATGCTGTCCGCTGATGAAACTAGGTTACTGGAGGAGTCTCTATGTTTTCGTAATAGTAACTCGAAAAGAATGCACAGAGAGGAAGTCAATAGCCTGCTATTTAGTGAAGTCAGTCGGTCCAGGCTTTTTTCATTAGAACCATATTATGGCATTGCAGAGCTGGACTGGCAATTTTTGGTCTCATCAAAGTGCAGACTGGGCAGCAGAGCCCGCGCGGTGAGGACATTGTACATATTGCTAATCATGTGCGCCTAGTGTATATCAAGAAGGGTAGTTGTAGCTCTATAGGGTAGCACAGTTAATGAATGATATGGTAGCAAGTCGCTGGTACAACTACTGCTTGAGCGACAAGATGCTTGCGTTCCATGTTTCATCTGAGTTTCGCGGATAGAATGTTTGCCCCCCTGAGACGAACCGAATGCAAGTTAGCTTCGGTGATTAAGGACTTGTTCATGGGATCATGCTCTACTGTTCCACGGTATGTTTGTTCTGTGTCATTTTCATTTTACGTAGGGTACAAGCCTTCAAAAGGAAAAGGGGAAAAAGCAGCAAGGCTGGGGAGTTTCCCTTATGATTCATTAATTTGTACTGTTGATGGATGCGAGTGTCATCCGTCCACAATTGCGGGCGTCTGTTGTCTGTACGGGGTTAAGGGCGAGTGACCCCTCGGGTAGGGCGCAGAATTAGTAGGGAGAAAGCGAGGCTAATTGAATTTCTTTCTTTGCATGCACGAGAAAACCTGTGGCATGGGTAGAATGGACAACGGCTGGCTTCATCGTGGGCTCCAATTGACTATAGAGGTAAAAAAAAAAAGGAAACTAAGTCACGGGGAGCAACTGCAGCCTTTCAGTACCAGTACTGACAAGCAGTACATAACAAACAATCTCAGCAGGTGCATTGGGATTACGACATCTTAACACGATTGAGGATCGCTTCATTGCGTATTCGGTGGTTGATTGGCGATTAACGATCGCAATGTGGTTGATTGGCCATTGGCGCGCGCGACAAGACCGAAGCCTGTTCCTCTAGAAGTACTGTTTTATTAACGAGTAATGCATTGAGGTTGTTCTGAGATATCCTCGTCTTGTTTATTATCTGAAAGTGGTGAAAGGATAAAAGCTGAAAACTGTCGAAGGCTTCTTTCTGTGGGGGGGGGTGGTCAGGTGACTTTGTTGGGAAGGATAGAATAGAACAAGTGATAATTTGAAAGGGAAATGAACCAACCAGATGGGAAGTGGTGAGCAGCCGAGCAGCAGCAGCATGGTTGATGGCACTACTGCTAGTGCTAGTACACCAGCTTGATGACCCAGTCTTTGTCAGGGGCTCGAAAGTAACCCAACAAAGAAAGCAGGAAAAAGGGGTAAAAAGGGCTCTTCTTTTCTGTTGGGATGCATGAGAATGGTGAGGCCCACCTTCATGGGCCCCGGCCCAGCTGCCATTTGTAATCATCAGTGCCCCCCTCAATTACCACTTGCTGGCTGCTGCTGCTATTTCCCGTTCTTATTATTGCTTGGGGTTAGGGTTCAGGATCAGGAGGTTATATTTTTCTTTCTTCGAATGTGAACAAAGATAACGGTTGTATTGATAAATTGAGCAACGCATGCCTAACAGTTTGACCATTGCTACATTATTTAGCTGATATCACCGATCAGCTACATTATTATCCTACATGTATATTTACATTCAGCGTCCACAACCTATGTTTTAGAAACTGCGCTGGCTAGTTGGAGTGAAAATACCAAGTATGGAACCAGAGAACAATAGGCAGTCATGGCGGTATGAAATGGTGAAATCATGGTTTTGTATAAAATACTTTGTAACTGACTTTTCGGTATAACTTCCGGTACGGTTTCATAATCCTTGATTTTGACCACTGCTCGAGTGTCAAAACAGTTGGTTAATCATGGTATTATTGTAGTTGGTTAGTGAGGGAACATGTTCAAGTCCTCACGTGTTCCAATGTAAACCGTCGTTTGTCATAAATCGTTTGGTTTCAATAACTCGAATTATTAATAAAGACTCATGTATGATTTTAACCACTTTCTTAGACAACACTAAAAAAAATCAAACTCATGAAATTGAAACTTGCATTATGCTGTCATGTGCGACCAATATTCATATTAGAAGCTGAGTAACGACTTGGTCCCAACTAGTTGATGACAACGAGTTCGATCTACTCCCAGCATCATAATCACGCAAGGCCCTCACCATTCTTCCTCCACCTTTAATTTGTCTATCTATCCCCAAACACACACTTTTCCTTTCTTCCTTTTTCCCACCCTCCTTTTCCTCTTACGGGCCTTGAGGTGAAAAAAGGGGGGATTTGATCTCTCATCACTCATCAAATCGATTTGATATCTTTTTTTTTTACCTTTCCTTATCCCTCTCTAGCTTTTTGACCTTACTATCGATCCGCCCCTTAATTCCCCTCTTTGTTTTATGTTTGACCACTTGCTTTCGCCACCCTTCCTTCTAATCATATATTTTCACTGTATATGTAATTATCATCCAAACATATCATGGACTTTGAAGCCCCCACTCCCTCCTTTTTTTAGTTCCTTTCCTCCCCCGCATTCTCTTCTACCCTTTCTCTTCCCGCAACCTAAGATTCCTGTTCCACTCCTCTCAATTTCCTCCACTCTAAATTTTCAATAGAAAAGGAATTAAAGATGACATATTTAGCTACCCTAACCCAACTACTTCTTATCATAACACAAGAATACACATACGTGTACAAAATTTGACACCACATTCTACCAAATGTGCGCTGCTTTATTACATGCATACTTTTTCGCACGTACCACTTATACATATTAATTAATATATAAACATTCCTAAACAAACATAATTAACTACCCAAAAAAGGAGAGGACAAAAAGATTAATAAAATAACATGCTGACCAATACAAAACGAATTACCAAAAAAGTTCAGCGCACACTGGAGGAGTAATACACACTTACAGAATCATTTCCGAAAGAATTCCTTACTTGTCTGCATCCGGCCGGCGACACTATTATGAACCATAAATTAATAATATTTATATATTGCTATCACTTTTTCTATAAATATTAATAAAATTATATTAGCAAACGTTGGGACCAAAGCCGGCGAAGCCGTTCGCGCCGTCGAACGAGATCTGTATCCCTTGCTGCTGCACGTTACCAATTATGGAAAGCCGGGAAGCCGACGCCGCGAACGCCAGGCAGAAAGTCCCGCCGTCGTCCACCGGGATCAAAAAGTTATTGGCCGGAAGAGTCAGCACCGGACCCTCGGAGAAGTAAAACGACACCGTCGGCACCCTCACGGAAACAAACCCGTTCAGATTGTAACACGTGTCGAATATCGACACCCCCGAACCCGTCCTGGGCAGGTCCCCGGCCTGCGCGACGAAGGCGTCGCGCAGCGCCGCGTAGGCGGGCCCGGGCAGCCTGGTGACGGCCGTGCCCGTGTCCATCACCACCCCGCCGTCACCCAGCTCGGTGAGGCGGAACAGGTCCTCGGGCACGGGCACCCGAACCCCGCCCACTCCGAGACCCGACAGGCCCACGTAGTAGAAGCTCGGGGCCCGCGGGTTCCGGACCAGCGGGATCCACGTGGCTCCCACCGGCATCGCTCCCCGCCCGAACTCGAGCTTCCCGGATCCGGACCCGGATCCGGAACGCCGGCTGACGAGGCAGTAGCTGAAGGCGCCCCCGGCCTGGCCTCCCAGCTGGCCGACGAACGACATCGAGCCGCCGCCCAACCCGAGCAAACCGGCGGCGCCGACGAACATTCCTTTGTTGCTGTGGCCGCACCCGATGGCGACGTCGTGGACGACGGCGGAGTCGTGGAAGGTCAGCGTCTCGAGCGCCAAGGTTCCCTTGGTGTACGACCCGTCGCCGTACGAGACCTCGTAGCGGCAGCGGTCGGAGTCGCGGCAGGAGGCGGAGGCGGCGGAGTTGGAGGTGGAGGAGGTCTCGGCGGCGAGGCGGTCGCAGGCGGCGGAGGAGCAGGAGACGCCGGAAAAGGAGGCGGAGATTGTCGGGTCGAAGAGCGGGTCGGACTGCGGGTAGCATTGGGAGCAGGGCTTGCACTGGACCCACACGATGTCGCTGCCCGAGTCAACGACCATGTATTGACTCGTGGGTGGGGACCCCACGCCGATGCGGACAAAATACTCCCCGCTCCCTTGCTCCATCCCCGAGACAACCTCCGTCCCGAACTCGAGGGGACGGAGGTTGTTGTTGTCGTTCTCGGGGTGGAGGCGGCGGAGGAGGGACGCGACGCGGTAGGCGTCGCGACGAATGCGGGCGTGGAAGAGCTCGTGATGGTGTGTTTGATTATTGTTGGTGGTAGTGGTGGAGTTGGATGCGGTTAGCTGGTCGCGGTGGAGGAGGTCGAGCACCAGCCTGCGGCTGGTGGTGGTGGTGGTGTTGGTCGGAGGAGCATGACGGTGGTGGAGGGTGGTTTGGGAGCGGAGGTGGAAGAGTTGGAAGTCGGGGTAGGAGGAGGAGGCGGCGGTGGTGGCGGGTAGAGTGTGGAGTAAGAGTGGGAATAATAGTGCGGATATTAGTAGGAGAGGGGATTGGGAGGTGGTGGAAGAAGGCAGCATGGTTTCGATTTCAGTTGAATCGAGGTTGGCTTTTTGGTCGGGTTGTGCTTTTAAAAAGAGAGGGAGGGAAAGGGTGGTGGAGACGAGAGGAGAGGGAAGCAATGGGAAATGTGAATGGGTAACGAATAAACCAACTGGATCACCGCTATATCTCGGGGTTTGTGTTCGTGTGTTTGACTATATATAGATAGTGGAGGAAGTGGGGTTGGGCCGGCCGGGTTGGTTTCGGTCAAGCATCTTTCGTACATGAGACGAGAGGAGTTCTCATTTCTCAAGACTAAAGAGTCAAGAGGTAGGTTTAGAAGGTCCGTTGGAGATACTATCGTTAAACCAAACTCTTGTTCGTATTTTATATGTAACTGAATAACACCTAACTTAAATAAAGTCTTTTAGTAATTGTTCGCGAACGTATTCATTAAACAACGAATTGAATGACAAACGAGTTTGTTTTCCCTCAATCGGTTGATTGATATTGCTCGTCAGTCTACATGTTGTTATGCTTATGCACATGACTATTGAACATAAGCATAGGCGGAGGCAGGGCTATTAGGCCTTGTCCCGGGACAAGGGTAAATTTTGGAGGGGAAAAAAATACCTCATATATATTTATATTGGTGGTGGAATACAATACTTATTGTTGGTACTTGGTATAAAAGTATTTTGTCATTACCGCACAACTCATTACTTGTTCATAATTGACATACAATTAATTTAATTAATATACTATAAATGAAATTTTGATTGCAATAAAGACCTAATTGGATCTCTTTTCTCTGTATGCCTATTCGCTATTTTCCCAACAACCATGAAATTGTCCGGTGACAACGACAATTCTACTAGTTTTGATTCTACCAATTGTAAGGTAGAAAGAGCATTTTCAGTTATATTGAGAACAAGTTTTAAAGTCGAATTGTCGATCAATTACTAATGATTGTTGAGTGGTATACATTGAAAGAGACTTACATAATAGGGTAGACTGTAGACGACAATTGTTTTTGTTTTTCTTCTACAATATGGAATCTTGTCATGGTTGTTTATGAAAAAAATAATAGTATTGGAAGAATGTTTTTATTTATAAATGAATTATTTGAATATTATTAATTTTAAGTATATTTATTAAATAACATAATATATTTATATCATTAAAAGAAGACATGGGTAGTTTCGAGTCCGGTCTCCGTCATTCAACATAAGACATGTACCGTAAGACATTATAAGAGCGAAGAACACAGTGGGACATTATTAAATCATTTACATGTACGTGTGAAATTAATCAATCAACAAAAAACTTGGTCTTCCTTCTGGAAAGAACAATGATGCTGAGGTAAACTTGTACACTTAATTAGTCCGCTTTTACTTTTACCTCCCACTCCAACCTAATCCCGAATTCGACCGGCTGGCTTACTCCTAATATTAGAACCCACCACTATCACAATTATCAAATTTGGGTCAGCTTCACTTGTAGGGTTAATCTTGTCACATGGTGGAGTTAGCCATCTGAACAAAAACGGCTGATTTGAATTACGATATTGGAAAGGAAGAGTAAATACCTTATGAACTACACTATTTTTAAAAATTATCACGAATTTTACATGTAATCTTATCTATTATTAAAAGTTGAGAGAGCTATAATCACTTCTTACTTCGCCCTACCTCCGTCACTGCACAGACATTATCACCCTAATCATCTAGCTCGAGGTTAGTCTAAACTTTATACTAATGACTCGACATTCGACGGGCAAATCCATGCTATTAGCTCAAAGCCAAACACCAACATTGTATTTGTATGCGCCAAAATCTATCACAAAAAGTTACAACGGAAAGGATTGTCATAGCAAATTAGCAATCGCATAGTTGAGCTCACAGACAACCACTTTGGCTTCAATAATTATATTTAAGATTGGAAATGTCCAAAATTCAACCTTACACAGATAATTCATTTTGAATATATTGTCACCTACTTAGACTTGCACAATGTTAGTGCATTTAATATGAGATGAGATGGAGCCGACGTGACAATATGAAGTATTGTGATTGCATATTATTTAATGTCTTTATGGTAATTACGTGTTTTGTATAATTTAAGAACGGTTTGTCATAACTATTCATTATTAGTGTTTTAGTCAGATTATGAATTGTGTTAGTTCTTGTTGTAATAATCAATTAATGTTTCTTGTAACGACAGAAAGGGAATTCGAGAGAAAAAAGAGGCAGAGTTGATGGATTACGGGCCGGGTTCGGATTTAAACCCGTTTTACTATTTTGTGGGTTGGGTTCGGGTTTAGCGATATCCAACCTATTCTCATTTAATTTTTTATTACTAATTGTGTAGAAGGAAGTTGATATTATGGAGTAGAGAGTGAAGAAGTTTAGTTGACAAGTAGGAAGAAGCTTTCAATTAATTATGTTTTTTATGTTTAATCTTGAATAATTTGTGGTTTGGTTGTGCTCTAGATAGGTGTTTTTTGTATGAATAATTTGTATGAGAGAATGACGTTAGACTTTTATTTTGACAGGAAGTTATTGTGCATTTATAGAACCCATGCACCATGGGTATCCATGAACCCGCAAATACCTAGCGGATTGGGTTGAATTTGAGTTTTTCAAACCCATTGATTCTTACCCCGGGGTTTTTGTGGATATACCCATGGGTTTGAGTTTGACAAAACCCATCACAAACCGGTTCATTGCCATCCCTAATCCTTGGGGAGAAGGAAATAGATACACTCTATAAAGACTCGAATTTAAGAACATTTTGTTATAACTATTCGTTATCAGTATTTTAGTCAGATTATGAATTGTGGTAGTTCTTGTTTTAATAATCAATTAATGTTTCTTGTAACGACAGAAAGGAAATTCGAGTATTTAAAGGAGGCAGAGTTGATGGATTACGGTTCGGGTTCGAATTTAAACTCGTTCTACTATTTTGCGGGTTGAGTTCGGGTTTAGTCATATCCAACCCGTTCCAACCCCTACTCATTTAATTTGTTATTACTAATTGTGTAGAATGAAGTTGATATTATGGAGTAGAGAGTGTAGAAGCTTAGTTGACAAGGAGGAAGAAGTTTTCAATTAATTATGTTGTTTATGGATGTTTATCTTTAGTCTTGAATAATTTGTGGTTTGCTTGTGCTCTAGATGGGTTTTTTTTGTATGAATAATTTGTATCGGAAGATGATGTTAGACTTTTATTTTGATAGGAAGTTAATGTGCACTTATAGAACCCATACCCCATGGGTATCCATGGACCCGCAAATATCTAGCAGGCTGGATTGAGTTTGAGCTTTCCAAACTCATTGGTTTTTACCTCGGGTTTTTTGGTGAATATACTCATGAGTTTGGTTTTGACAAAACTCAGCCAAGACCGGCTCATTGTCATCCCTAATCCTAGGTGAGAAGGAAATAGATAAACTATAACATACCGTTTGGTATAAATGAATTCCATAAGTTTTGAATAATTTATTTTGAAATGAAATATTTTCGTGTTTTGTTAGTTTTTTAGTATTTTAATAACTAGTTTGAGTTGATTTCGCCTCTAAAAAGGGCTTTTACATGAAAATTTTGACCCAAGTTATCCCCAATCTGAAAATCAAAGATCTTGTACGTAACAAAATCCTACCTAGTTGTTGGTCTATATCAACTTAAATTCTTTATTGGCATACTTCTAAAGCGATCTGCAGGGAATAAGAGGCCTGGTTTCCGCCAATCAGATTTATATATTTAGCGTGCGTGCTCCGTGAAGAAACTAAATAATTCTCCACTACGTAGATACGAGTATTTATAATCATCACTAGTGGGAGAGGGTGGCCTTTGTTAACTTCAACAGCAACGTAATCGATTGTGTGGGATATAGGAAAAAGAAAGCAATGTTTTACATCGATCAATAGCGGCCATTGTTCATCTCACTCATCCGGTCGTCCATGTATACTGCCTATACAAACGAGACATATATTGAAAGCCTCTAGAAGAAGAAGTTTGTTATGTGAATATCATGATCATCATTAGCTTGTTAATTAGATCGTGCTTGCAATACTTACGACTAATTATCTTCAAATTTACAGGGTGTTACAATGTTTTAAGTTCTTATTGTTCCTAGTGGTACTTTGATGCCCGACATGTATATCTCCATTTTGAACTTAGGAGTTAGGAATATAAATGTCACGTCACTACTGGCTGGATGAACTTTTTGTCAAAACGTAGCTATACATAGACGAACTATAATTTTTAATAGTATTTCGATTTATGTATGACATATTTTCTTGATTACAAGATATACTTCCTATTTGGGCATGAAGCTAAGTCACGATCGTGACTTCTCAACTTCCGGCCACGAATCGTTTACAAAAGCGTATTATGCATCTTTCACGTTCACTGAACAACAGTCACGGTTTGGACCACCATAATCACGGTCTGTAACTGGATTGCACAACTAGTTGTGTTTAAACTTTGCTTTGTAATTTACCCAATACCCAAGATGCTTCGTGAAGGGTATAACGTACCAGAAAAAAGCTCCATCTCTGCAATTGTATAGTGAAAACCTTACTGAGAGCTCGACTTTTCATCGACGAGTCCCAACATTCGGGGAAACCCGACAACCATACTTATATCACCCATGTACCAATTGCCATGGGAAAGCAGCCTCAACTAAACCAGACTAATAATGCATGTAGGAATTAATATTATTTCAGTAACTGAATCACACGCACGAGCTTAAGTGTGTGGCTTAGTATTGGATTGATGTGTACATATATTAAGATAGACGTTCGACAATCCATGTTGGGATAATGGTATTATTGGACTGATTGATTAGGGAGTGCTACTGGTGCAGAATGTGACAATGTCCAATGTTATTGCGCGGTAATGCTCTTAGGAGAAACGACAAGAGGCCAACCAAAACCGATGATAAGCTATAAAATTAGCACAAAGGCACTTTGATGGATATATCATGCATATATGGTCACTATCCAGAATCGTTCCCCGAATGCATTAGTTGATCAGCT